CCCCAAAACCCCAAAACCCCAAAACCCCTGTGATCAAGAAAGGATTGACATATATAATAAATTAAATATGAAGACGCTTTTCATTTTACAATGTAAGGAATTTTATTAGATTAGTATTTTATGAAGAAACCTCAGACTCTAATTAATTACGCTTTGTTTTCAATATTCTTTCCTAAAACCCCTCATATCTTGACAACTCTTATAGATATCCTACTAAGTTTGGCCGTATTTCCAGGTTCAGGCCACTCTCCACCGAATCGACACTCTAAAAGACATCTAATGGACTGCTCAGACTACAGAACTTGTACTTCGTGCAATTACTACATCAGTAAGTCCTGAAGGCAACTGGTCCTTTGAGGGTTAGTTTTGAGGTTTTAGGGTAACAATAATTTTGAGTACGAAGAAGGGATATGGTAGAGAAGATGGGAAGTTTCATAAATATTCCCAAAATTGATTTTGTGTGTGGTTTAGGGGTTTTTGGACATGAGGAGAGGGAATAGTTCATGGATTTGTACCTAGAGATGGGTTTTAGGATTTTGAGGGTTTTGTAGAAGAAAAATTTATTTTTGAGATATTCTTTTTGCTACTTTTAAATTTTAAACCTAGATTCTGATACAAATTCTTGAGAATTTTGAGAAGATGGTGAATATTATGATAGTACAGAAGAAGCTTGTAATCCTTGCAATGGTAAATGCACTGGTAAATGCTCCTACCAATCTTTCTGATTCGACTGTTCTTCTGGTCAGTACTTTGACCTCGACAACATGGAATGCGTCAGCACATGCTCATCGACACAGATCACAATTACAAACTCTCAATTCCATAGCAAGCCTATTTGCAGAGGCTTTGACTATTTCGTAGACACAAGTAGCGGCAGCTACATGGAACTCGGTACTAAGCAGTACCCTTACAAGAACATCGAATTAGCATTTGTAGAAATCCTGAACTTCCACTCACATAGTGACAGAAACCTCCGAGTCAAAGTCATGGAGAATACCGACAACTACGTCGGAGGTATTCTGGGATCCAGTCTAAGGTCAGACAGGCGTCCCGTTGTCTTGGTCAATAACATCACTTCTGTGACAGTTGAGAGTTACTCTGTGTACTCTTCTCTGAGTCCTAGAGCTGCCTCTATATATTTCACAAGCTCAAGCTCGGTCAGCGGTAATTGATTTCTGACAGTGTAGCAGACCCAAAGACAATGTTTAACATAATGAATCACACACAGTCAGAGATAGAGTCTAATATTACTAGGTAAGTAAACTCACCATAATTTAAAAAATCTAAGCTGACTTGATATGCAACAATTTCAAATATCATAAGAGTCCTAATAACAGCATTTTATTTATTTTATTTTGCCTAAAATTATTATTTTCCCCTCTTCTCAATCCTCACCTTACAGCCTTAAAAACCATATCCGCTTTGTCCTAGTCCTTTGATTTAAGATTTCCAGACCTCATAAAAATTAGTTTCGCTTTGGAAATTTTCAAAATTTCAAAACTTCCAATACAAATTTTCAAATTACCGTTTGAGTCCAATCTTTTTCAAACTTTTCATGAAAATTTAACAGATATTTATCCGATCAAAAAGGATCACTCAGTTAGATAAGACCAAAGTGGATTCTTCTGCTGGTTCATGAAATAAATTTGTGTATATTTCGACCTCAAATTTCGACAAATTAGCGTCGGATTGGTCTAAGACTGATGCTGAAGTCATGCTGACCATTTAAACGTTAGCTTAGTTTTATAACGGCCTGTTATAAAAAATACGTTTTGTACATTGGAAATCATTCTTCAGATCAATCTAAAAATATCATACATTTTTGATATTTCGATGAAGCTTAGCTGCACATTTTGAGACATTTAATACCTTTATTACTTAGAAAATTGAGTGGAATTTATAACAGAATTACTAAATTTCTACTATGGGATAAGAAATTTTATTATTCTGGCATTAATCCAAACGAGCTGGTTTTAAAGGACTAAAACTAACTATTGTAGTTCATCAAAACTGATATAATCAGTCATTCAAGTTTCACAATGAACCGGATCAACCTATTAACTGCTTTCGCTGACAAACAGATCGACACTGACTTGTTTACAGTAACTGATGGGAAAGGCAAAGTGGTAACTCTCAAGAACTTGCAGATCAAAGCCTCGAATATTGATGGGAGCATTCTGTATAACTATGGTCAAGAAACCAGTTTGCATCTTGAGAACTTAGACATTGGTGAGGATATCAGTAATTTCTAGACTTTTATGGAGTCCAGCATGGCATCGAATTCCATCCAGCTTGTTCTGAGAGCTTGACTGGCACAGAAACGTCAGTTGTGGTGACAAATGTGACTGCTTATAATTCTCAAGAAAGAGGAGATAGAGCGTATTCGTATTTTTACTTCAACGGAAATGCTAATATCACAGTAATTCTTTTATTTATGTGTAGATCTCTGACTCTAAGTTTGAAATATTCAAGTCAAATACAGATGGGATTGGGACGATTGAACTTCAGACTACAGAGTCTTGCTCCACAGGAAGTTACCCTCACACTGTCGATATCCTCAATAATGAGTTTCAGTTGAACTCGAATCCATATGGTTACAGGTTCAATAATATTGATATCAGGTATATCGCCTCTAGCAGGCCAGAGGTGCTAAATATCAAGCATAATGTCTTTAAGAATATACTAAGCTCTATTCTTCCAGTTGTGCAGACTAATATTGAGTCTGAATGTGACATCTTCATGGAAAATAACACATTTGTTAATGTTTCAGCAACAAGCGAAATTGTATTTCTGAATACTAAGGGGACTGTCAGTATCAAAACCACAGAATTTTCTGATATATCAGAATTTGGAGGAAATATTTTCTCCATTACCAGTGCAGCAAGAGTTTTTATAGATGGTTTTAAAGTCCAGAATGTTTCACAAATAGCCAAAACTGAGACAGCATTTATTTTAGCTAAAATAACAAGTCAAATAGATTTCAGTATATCAAATTTGGATATTAGTGGTGTGACAATTAATACTACTCCGGTGCTGAATCTCAGAGGCGAAATTGGCAAACTAGAAATAACTGATTCTATCTTTAGTGGAGTTACTTTTGGATCTGAAACTTCAATGTTGTTGGTTAACTCTTTGAGTTCACTAAAACTACAAAATCTAACTTTCACAAATTTAACTGAGGACTCTTCCACAGCAGTTGATAACTTTATTTTTACTATGAGTACACTTAGGCTCGATGGCTCTGTCAATTCCACTATACAAGACATCTTCATTGAAAGTTGATTGGTGGGATTCATGTCTTTCAATGAAATCAGTGAAGTTACAACAACTCCCAAGCAACTTGAGATGTCTAACATTGTAATTAAAGAGTCTGTTTATTCTCGATCTATCAGCTTGATTTCTCTCACTGAGATAATCACTGACCAAGACTTTCAGATCCAGATCAGTGGATTGGTGTTCAAAGAACTAGAATTTCAAATGACTGGGGATTTAGTATTCTTGAGCTGTCAAATCAAAAAAGGAATACACTTCAATGATCTTGTGCTTGATGACATCAAAGGTGGGACAATATTTTCGTCAGCTTACAAAACTTCTGACTCAACTCCAGCAAAGTTCTCAATCAAGAATGTTTCAATCACCCAAGTTGATGCCAGGTACATGTCTCTGATTACGATCAGAGACAAAGTGGAGCTTGACATCAGTGACTCGACTATTGAGCTTGTGACTTCGTTTGGAAAAGGATCGGTATTGAATGTGCAAGGATCTGAGAGTACAGTGTCTATCCGAAACTGTACTCTGAGTAGAAATGCTGCCTTTGAAGGAGGCGTATTCAATATTGACGCTAACAGTGCACTAAAAGTGTATGACTCCACGATCAGTCAGAACTTCGCTCTGCAAGGCGGAGTCATAAGCACTGCCGTCCAAGGCTTCTTTGAATTTTATAGGGTAACGATACAAAGTAATTATGCAGTTTCGATGCCTGTTGGAGTACTGTTGGACACTTCTTCTACCTCAATTCTCAACAACTGCACCATCACAGAGAACCTGGCCATCTCACTCACATCCCTCTCACTCGAACTCACCTCTACATGCAAATTACTCTGTTTCCTCAAATCCAGTTACAAAGAGTACATCTCCACTGACCAAAGTAAGCCAGCTGGTTTTACCCTGTAGAATTCAACTCTTTTTCACCCTCTTCTTATTGTTTTCAGACTATGCAAGGGAACATACTGTTCACAAATCAGACATTAATAACATTACAGCCAGAGCTAATTGTAGCACTTTCAAATTCAGAATTGGTTATTGAATCCGTGGTTTTCACTGACATAAGTAGCTCAACCTCTCATATATCTGTTCTTGAGTCAGATGCTCTCATAGATAATGTGAGTATTACGAATGTACATATTAGTGGATCTATCTTCGATTCTTTTATTGAGACTGACCATCAAAGCATCTCTGTGGTGAGTAATACCAACTATACTAATAATATCGGATGCTTTGTATTTACTTTCGAATGTAAGATGACACTTGATAATGTCCGTATTGAAAACATCACTGTAGACAACTATGTTCTGAACATTGATCAATCGTAAGTATTGAGTTTTATAGCAATAGACATTTCTTTTTCAAAAACTCTCTTGTTCGAAATATTACATCCAAAAATCAAGAATCTGTGATTTTGTACATAAACATACACCAGCATCATTTCCATGGAGGAGCTCAACAAACAGTGACGAAAGAGATTGAGCAATACAATTTGACCTTTGAAGATATTGATCAAACAGTCATTAAGCTCTATGCTACTCTTATAATTCATAGTGACAACATCACTTGTAAGTGCAAATCCTTTATTTCTAGTCCGGAATTCCCAGAGAGCAATGACTATTATAAAGAATGGCTCGGCTAGTTATGAAAACTCTGTGTTTGAAAACCTCGGCTCTTCTAGCCTGAGTGACGGAGCTGCATTTAGTGCTAACTTTGCCCAAATCTATCTGAAAAATACGACTGTCAGAAATAATCAAGCTATCAATGGAGGAGCTATGAATCTTGATTGTGTTACCGAGTACAAGTGTGAGTTCAATTTTACTGACTGCGCCTTTTTAAACAATTCGGCCCAGATGAATGGAGGGGCTATCCAGTTCGGAGTCTACGCTCCAGTGAGTGTGAATACACTGTATGCAAATAACTCTGCTCAGTACGGGCCTGATATAGCAGGGTACGCTGTAAAGGCAGTGCTCAAAGATAGTAAAACAGATGATATCATAATTAACAATGTTGGAAGTGGAATAAAAATTACTGAAGGGTTTACTTTACAGCTGGTTGACTTTGAGGGCAAAGTCATGCATTTGGATAACTCATCCAAGTTAGTTATTAAGATCAGTACTCCAAACGAAGTGATCCAAGGAGCTGATGTTAAAATAGCAAGCCAGGGTGAAGCTACATTCGATAATCTGATATTCACATCACATCCAGGAGACCAATCTGTAGAGTTTCGGATAGTTACAACAGCTGTGAATGATGAATTAGTGATGGCCCAGTACGGAGAGATTGTACAGAAACCCTTAACAGTAAACTTCAGGTACTGCCAGCCAGGAGAATATGAGATCGGAGATGTCTGACAAGAATGCTCACCTGGAAGCTACTCTTTTAAATGGAACTCTACTGTATGTAACAGCTGTTTTGACAAAGGAAACTGCCTGGGTGGAATTGAGGTATATCTCGAGGAAGGATACTGGCGTAGAACACTGAATTCTACATCTATCACAAAATGTCTACGCAAAAAGTCATGAAAAGGTGGCTTCTCTGAAGTAAACGAACACCCTATAGAGTGTGACGAAGGCTACACAGGTCTTTTGTGAGCAAAATGTCAAATTACCGAATCAATCAAATATGAAGATATTGGCAATTATAGATGAGCTCCTTGTCCAAATCCAGTACTCAATGCACTCAGACTGGCTGGGCTGGTTATAGCAGTACTTGTATTTATGGTAATACTTGTGATTTTCATGATTAAAAAGAAAGAGGAAAGCCAGAAGTCTATACTTATGAAGATATTAACAAACTATCTTCAAATAATTACGGTGGTTCTTACAATGAAGATAGAGTACCCTGAGCTATTCACCAGTTTACTATACCCCGCTGACCTTGTAGGATCTCCTACTACACCATTCGTATCATTTGATTGCTTTGTACAGAACCAAGAGTTGACTCTATTTGCTCCTTCTGCTTCATTCTTTGAAATTTTCTTATCTGGAATGCTTCCGTTGATATTCGCTCCTTGAATATTTGTTATTTTTGCCATAACCTACAAACTTCCATATCCTTGGGCTAAGGAGTACAAGAGAAATGTGGTGGTAACTTTGATCGTGGTGCTGTTCATCCTACATCCTAATCTGACACAGAACTCCCTCAGCATGTTTGAATGAGCTGCAGTCCCTGAACTGGAATCAAGAGTCACCATTGACCTTGATATGGAGTGATTGTCAAGCAAACATCTGTTGTGGATCTTTTTAGTAGCTATACCGATGTTCTTTATTTATGGAATTGGAATTCCTTTGACAGCATTCATCCTATTGTATCGGTCTAGAAATAACTTAAACAATATTGAGATAAAAAGATACTTCCTTGTCCTGTATCAGGGTCTCAAGCCCAGAGTATTTTATTGGGAATTTGTCAACACTTCTCGAAAGGTTACTATACTAATCGTGGTTGTTTTCTTAGCCCAAGCATCTGTACACCTAAAGGCTCTCCTTATTGTATTGGTTGTTGTTATCTTCTTCAGGCTACAAATATTCCTATCTCCTTACAAACTTCAGGAGAACAATGCTCTTGAAAGACTAGAAATGACCACAGGCCTGATTACTCTATACGGCGGAATGTTGTTCATTAGTGAAAATGACAGAGAGCCAGTTATAGATCTACTAGTTTTTATGTTCATAATTGTCTGCAACATTAACTTCGTGATTAATTGGACATACAACATGTTGTGCACATTCAGGAACGTTCATAGGTAAGCTCAATGCCTGAAATATAGCATCCTCGACTCAATCATTGTGTGCGTAGGGTTCCTTCTTTGCAAGCAAAGGTTCAAACCAGAGAATATGAGCAAGTTGCAAAAACCAAAGACTCCAAAGGTATTAATCATGAAGTCAGGCAAGAAGGTCAAAGGTAAGCTCTCTTCTGATTACTCATAATAAATACTCATATCTATATAGTGAGGAGAAAGCGAAGAAGGCCTGGCAGAGCCAGAAAAGAAGGGTAAGAACTTTGCATAATTGTATAGCAAGAAATCTAACAGAGAGGCTCCTGAAGAGGTTAAAGAGCAAAACCAGATTTGCCAAAAGTATACTTGCTAATGACACTTTAGTCTAACAAAATCTAATGAGATTCAGAAGGAAGCACAATCTTTGAGGGATATAGACTCTTCAGGTTGAGATCCAATAGTTGAACAGCTAGATCCTGGTATAATTTTTGAGTTAATTTGGAAAAGAATATTTTGCCTTAATCATCATGTTCTCATATAAAGCAATTGCATAGAGCTTGGAGCTTGATCATAACTCTCATTGATAACTCCACTAGATAATTTAGTTCCATAACATTAGCATTCGTCATGATCTCTCATCCAAGCAGCTAGGGATTAATATCCACTAGTCAGCTTAAAAGTTCTTTTAAAATGTTCATCTTTCACTCAGCCTTAGCTAGAAATACCAGCAAGAAATATAATTTAAAATCTAGAACGATCAGTTCTGAAGAAATATGGATTTGGAATTACTCGTAAGAGCAAGAAGAAGAGTAAGTTTCCTTTGAGACCACTTCTTGAGTTTCTAAAATAGCAATAAATATATTCAAACTGATATTTCAGGTCTTTAGTCTATACACCTAAGAGCTTTAGTTTTAGCTCAACTACCTCTTCTTTATTAGCAACCTAGACGAATCCTTTGTATAGAGAATAGAAGGTTTCAACGCAAGAAGGCTCAACCTCCTATGGAGATGGAGTCTGCAGTGAGACCCGCTATTGTTGAGCTAAACGACGATTCTGAGTTCTTCATGACCTCTAACCGTTCAAGGACAAAGTCAATCTCAAGTATAGTGCGTATTTATATTTTTAGCTGATCGACAAATGGAAATTGACTCTTCAAGGCATTTGAATAACGGTAAGCAGCCAGTGCAGTCTTAGGTTTCTAAGAGATAGAGCCACTAGTTCTCTGACCGATTGCCAGAATGGACTTTGAGAGCCTAATGGCAAGTTTAATGGGTGCATTTACAGTTAGTTCACTTGGAATAGCTATCTATTTCGAGGTTTAGTTTAAACAATGCATTTTTGTTTTATTAATAATTTTAGCTCTTTAACAACTACTTCTTGAATGGGATAGGAAGAAACATCTGCTGATTTAGAGACATAGCATTTATTTTTAATATATAGAGGAGTTCCGTAAGAATATAACTGGTAAAGATTTGCTGGCTATTCATGATGCCAACCTCAATGCTGCTGATTCATGCAGTGTGGATTCTAAAGATTTGAAGGATCCTAATTCAAAGCATGAGGATGCAAAAGGTAAGTAGTGTAGCATTTTGTGATTCTTCATAATAAAATCTGTGCAAGGCTAGCAGGAAATTAATATACAACCGATAAAGCAATGAGTTAGTCTCAGAGAATTTTGCCACGTGGCCACTCTCTATTACTTCAGAACCTCTTTTATCAATAATATCTTTGCTTATATCTAAAATATAAAAATGAATAAAAATCTACTTACAAAGCACTTTTTGATTTCAAAAGTCGTGCATTTTGCCGAATTTCTAACAAATATGAAAAATCAAAATCCAGACTTTCATCTCAAAATTCCCTTATCTTATTTCTCGGGGTTTACTTTTTCAGCTATGAATCAACTCAACCGAACCCTAGCACTCTCTTAATAATAAATAATTCAAATAACAAGCTCTCTTATAGACCATGAGCACGATAAACGAATCTCAAATTTAGCAAAATATATTAATCCCAAGTAAAAAACTCCAGTCTGACTTCAGCAGCATGAATCTCCTCCTGACTCCTGTACCTGAACACCACGCCAACTTATCCCACCCAATCAGAACCCCTGCCCCTTACAACAACTCTTAATCCACCCCCTCTCTCCGCACAAATTTCCCCCCAAAATGCCCTCAAAACCCCAAATTCCCCATCCAGATCACTAATCCCAACCCCACAGCTAAATAATCCCTCTTCTGCATAAATTACTACTGAGCCAATTATGTATCCTACTGATTTTAAGTTTTACTCTAAAACTTTTGGGTATTTCTGACTTAAGTTATAGCCCCTCTTCATTCATGTGCAGATCTGGGGGTTCTGGAGGGTTATTTTAGGGTGTCAAAGGGGTGATAGATTAGGGGTGGAGGGGTTTAGGGGGTGGATTAGCAGGGTGAGGACTGGGGGAGGAAGGGGGAGAGAGGAGTGGCCCTTTGGAGCCTATAGGGGTCTTTGGGGGGTAAGAATTGCATTGGTGATAGTGTTATATATAAATATTAAACTACTGCTCATTGGATTGGGGTTTTGGGGTTTTGGGGTTTTGGGG